AAAACTCAAGTCCAAGTGGGTGAAAGACCTCAATATCAGTCCAAACACACTGAACCTGATTGAAGAGAAAGTGGGAAGTACTCTACAACACGTGGGCACAGGAGACCACTTCCTACGTATAACCCCAGCAGCACAGACAGTAAGGGCCTCATTGAATAAATGGGACCTCCTGAGACTGAGAAGCTTCTGTAAAGCAAAGGACACTGTCGCTAAGACAGAAAGGCAACCCACTGACTGGGAGAAGATCTTCACCAACCCCACAACTGACAAAGGTCTGATCTCCAAAATATATAAAGAACTCAAGAAACTAGACCGTAAAAGGCTAATCAACCCAATTATAAAATGGGGCACTGAGTTGAACAGAGATCTCTCAACAGAAGAAGTTCAAATGGCCAAAAGACACCTAAGGTCATGCTCAACTTCCTTAGCGATCAGGGAAATGCAAATCAAGACAACTTTAAGATACCATCTTACACCTGTCAGAATGGCGAAAATCAAAAACACCAATGATAGCCTTTGCTGGAGAGGTTGTGGAGAAAGGGGTACACTCATCCATTGCTGGTGGGAATGCAAACTTGTGCAACCACTCTGGAAAGCAGTGTGGAGGTTTCTCAGGAAATTTGGGATCAACCTACCCATGGACCCAGCAATACCACTCTTGGGAATATACCCAAGAGAGGCCTTATCACACAACAAAAGTATATGCTCTACTATGTTTATAGCAGCATTGTTTGTAATAGCCAGAACCTGGAAACAACCTAGATGCCCTTCAATTGAAGAATGGATGAAGAAAGTATGGAATATATACATATTAGAGTACTACTCAGCAGTAAAAAACAAGGACTTCTTGAAGTTTGCAGGCAAATGGATGGAAATAGAAAACACCATCCTGAGTGAGGTAAGCCAGACCCAAAAAGAGGAACATGGGATGTTCTCACTCATATTTGGTTTCTAGCCATAAATAAAGGACATTGAACCTATAATTCGGGTTCTTAGAGAAGCTAAATAAGAAGGAGAACCCAAAGAAAATCATATAGGCATCCTCCTGAATATTAAACTTCATCAGGCGATGAAAGGAGACAGAGACAGAGACCCACATTGGAGCACCGGACTGAAATCTCAAGGTCCAAATCAGGAGCACCAGAAGAGAGAGCACGAGCAAGGAACTCAGGACTGCGAGGGGTGCACCCACACACTGAGACAATGGGGATGTTCTATCGGGAACTCACCAAGGCCAGCTGGCCTGGGTCTGAAAAAGCCTGGGTTAAAACCGGTCTTGCTGAACATAGCAGACAATGAAGACTACTGAGACCTCAAGAACAATGGCAATGGGTTTTTGATCCTACTGCACGTATTGGCTTTGTGGGAGCCTAGGCAGTTTGGATGCTCACCTTACTAGACCTGGATGGAGGAGGGTGGTCTTTGGACTTCCCACAGGGCAGAGAACCCTGATTGCTCTTTGGGCTGACGAGAGAGGGGGACTTGATTGGGGGAGGGGGAGGGAAAGGGGAGGCGGCGGTGGGGAAGAGACAGAAATCTTTAATAAATAAATAAATTAAAAAAAAGAAAAAAAGAAAACAACCAAACAATTTAGAGATTGTTTATGTGAACACTCTCTACTTTAAAATTCCTAAGTTTATTTGGTTAGATATGGTTTAAAATCTGTTAAAATTAAAACAAAGCTAGCTAAAATTTAAAGCTAGTGACACTGGAAATTGGTGATTTAAAATCTGTACATGGGTAATTGTAAAGGAAACATAGGACATGATTCCAGTTTGGATTGCCACCATTCTTTACTCAGGTGGTTGCCATTCTGCTGGAGTTAAAGAAAAGATGGCTGTCACAGGATTTCTCCATCATCTTGATTAGAGACAACCACGTGAGATGAGCCTGACCAGGAGACAACAGATCTCCAAGGTAGATTTTCATATGATAATTCATGTCCTGTCCTAAACACAGGGTTTATAAAAAATAAGAATTAAAATATTAAATCTACACCTCAATGCTTTTGTACACAGAAATATACCTTGCTCTGGCAGCTAAACTTTGTAGTTTAACGTCACCCAGGTAACAATGATTATAAAGACATGAAGGGATCAGAGGGAACAGCTGAGGTCTACAAATGTATGGCAGGACTAGAGTCCCAAACAGAGTCCAGTCACACGGATGGACCTTAGGAGTTTTAGAAGTGCCAGTGCCAGGTGACAGTCACCAGAAGCACCGGGTACAGTGAAGTGAAGCAGGCTGAGATCTAAAAGGCAGGCTGTGTACACACTGCCGGGAGTGGGTCAAAGGGAGATCCAAGCCGCTCAAAAAGGAAAAAAAAAAAAGATACTTTGATTAAAAAAAATTGCTACTACAGGAAGACATTTAAGAGAATTAATTGTTTTAAAATACAGGGTTTCTCTGTGTAGCTTTGGAGCCTGTCCTGGAACTCGCTCTGTAGACCAGGCTGGCCTCGAACCCATGGAGATTCACCTGCTTCTGCCTCCAAGTGCTGGGATTAAAGGCTTGTGCCACCACCTTCCACCAGTGAGATTTAAATTTTAAGAACAGTTTTTAAAATACTTAAATTTATAAGGCTATGGGACATTTGTGCTTATAAAATGCTTTATATTGTTAATATTTGTACTTAACAGAAAAGGCTAAAAATTAGGGTCACAGCCACAAGCACCAAATGCTAACTGGAAATTAACTGGGGAGTTACTTTCTCGTGATGCAGCAAGTCAGCAACCTAAGCTGTCTGACAAAGGGCTTGGAGCAGTTTCTCAGCCCACTGAGTCTCAGCCCTTTGGGGGGTTAATAAAAAACCTTTTTACAGGGGTAGCCTAAGACCACCTGCATGTCAGATGCTTACATTAAGAGTTATAACAAAACTGCAGCTGTAAAATAACGGGAAAAATTGTAATGGGGAACTATATTAAAAGGTCAAAGCATTAAAAAAGTTGACAACCAGTGGCTTAGAAATGTCTTTCCTCACTCAAGGTCTATTCAGGCTTAAACATTTAAGTCTAGCCTCCTTATCTTTCCCAGCTTTGCGAAGCTTAAGCTATTTGGATAAACTGAGTCATATAAATATTTTATGTTTCACTAAAAAGAGCTTCAATTCAAAATCATTTTTAAAGCTAAACCTGACAGAAATGTAATGTAAAATTCTTAGCCTTATAAAAGTGGCTCGGTACTTGTGAAGGGGAGAATGTAGGACCTAGTCATGACAAGCTCAAAAGGGGCCTGAGTTTCAGATTGGACCACCCAGGAACAGATCACGGAAGAGTACTTAACATTCCAAAGGAGAATTGTAAATGGGATCACCTGATATCCCTTAGCCCAGCACATACCCATCCCCTTTCACCAGGGCACCCCTAGACAAATGTCAGCCAATCAGAGGTCCTGAACCTTAGAAATACCTCACCCCACCCCAGGTGAGCTTGAGACTCTCTGATCATGCCAAATCATTGGCAATGCGTTGGACACACGAGAGTCCAAATCTGAACTTGAACAAAAGTTTACTTTTACATCCAGGATCCAGTCTCCTTGTTGGTTTTTCAGGGCACTCCGTGATCTGGGCATCACGGACACAAACCGACTAACTCAGAGGAAGCTCTGGCAGGGACTTGCTTTACTTTATGCAGCAAAGCTTCCCACGGAGACACCAGAATCATGAACAGTGCACGAAAAGGAAAAGAGAGGCCTCATTTTCAAACCTGCCGGAGGTCCAAAGGCCTGGAGGAAACAGTGTACTGAACCTAAATCCCCAAGACAGAACTGAATCTAGGAGGCTGGGCAGCCTCAAGGGCTTTGCTGATCCTGCTGGGATTGAATTATGGCTTAACAGCCTGGAGAATCAAAACCTAGAGCGTGCTGACAGAAGGGCATCCAGTGCAAGTCAGATGTTAAAGGGTTCCCCACCCTCAGGAGGGCGTGAACCCCTCAAAGCCCCCTCCTCCCACAAGCAGGAAATCTGTCTGGGAGTGAGCAGAGACGGAGAGTTTGTAAAGCTGTACCTCTGGACACCCGGCCAAAGAAATGGAAGCGCTGATGTTGCCGTAGACTGCCGCGCACCGCACCCCCATGTCTGGGCTCTGTGCGTTATTACCCAGTTTGCGAGCTTCGGGCAAGGGAACTGGAGGTTGAGAATACCCATGCAGAGACAGACCAACACGCAGACCTTTTAACACCGATACCAAAGCCCCAAGAATGGCCCCTTTATTGTGTTCGGGGGCAGATTATATAGAGATAGCCACGCCCCAGCCAAACCCACCAGAAACCACTCTCCTGCCATCAGGAACTCCTGAAGATCTCGTGCTCAGAGCAGCTGTAGGCACTCAGATCAGGAGAAAAACAAGTTGTTTTACTGCTCCCAACAGTAGACAAGTAATGTAGGCCAACTTATCTGAAGTGCCCCTAAACTCATAAGATGTGAGGGATTATGGGGCTGAGTTTTAGGAAGTGACCCAAAGGCTACTTTCCCCAGAGCTGTCTGCCCACTACAGGAATGACAGGCAGGCTGGAAAGTTGACTGGAAAGTCTGTTGATAGTACCAATGAGGGTCCTAAACCTTGGGTCCATGGTGTGCCCCAGAATGGGAGCCTAGGAAAATGCCTATGGGTAAAGTTTAGGGAACCAGAGAACTAAACCCCAAGAGACAGTGTTTACTAGAAATACTTTCAAATAATTTCAGTTACTGTAACCGAATTAAGAAGGTTTGGAATTATCCATGTAGAATCTACACTAGATAATCAAAGAAACTCTCAGTATGCCAAGAAAAAAGTGATTTAAGTTGTTAAAAGGGAGAGTTGGGACATTTCATTTGGTTCGGTATTTGCCATTTAAATTAGATGGAATCGGGTTTAAATGAAAGAGAAAAGCAAGCTCTTGCCTCAGAGCAGCTCATCTGAGCATCTGAGCGAGCGCTAGCTATGACTGTAGCCACCCACACACAACAGCAAGCAGCACCGTACAATGTCCAGCTGGACTTGGACAAACCATCAGACGACACCTCCTGGCCGGCGTGGGTCTCTGGGGATGTGGAAAGCATGGGGGCGGAGGGGGGGGGGAAAGACTGCCATTCGGCGTGGGGACTGTGGAGGCCAGGGGAAGGCTAGAATTCCCACCACAGCTTGAATTAGACGTACTAACCAAGTGACAGAACACCCACGCTTGTTTACTCAGCCCCAAACTGGGGGGCTGTTGCTATGGAAAACGCCACGCTGGAGCTCTAGAACACCTCCCTAACAGTAAACTGAAAACTCCATTGTCATCCCGAGGTCACTGCAGAGAGAGCGGTGCCGGCATGGACGCATGGGAACAGGGAGGCTGTCAAATCATATGACATTCCCATGGAGCACCCCCTGCTCATCTGCCTTGTGCAAATGTTAGGCCTTGAGGAATGACTGCAGGTTATGGGATCTTAACTCCCTGGTGACTCCCTCTCCAGCTGTTGTTGCAGATGTGAAAGCTTTCTGTGGTAAATCAACAGGGCTTGTGGCACTTGGAGTGGATCTGAGAACCTGAAAATGGACCCTTCTCTTTATCAGTTAATTGGACTTCCAGAAATAGCTTGCTTTAATCTGACGGGGACATCTGTATACCTGTGCCCTTTTCCCTCAGGGCCACATGAACTTCAAGCCCTATTATGATCAATCCATAAGGATTTTCATTATTTTGTTGTCCCACAGGAAACATCATGCTGACTGGACTTGGTAATACAGTCACACAGACACACACACCCCAGATGGCACAGTAAGGCCTGCCTGTGTCACAGGCTAAAGGTAAACCACACAGGAATTCTAGGGGCTGTCACCTGTCTAATTTCCTTGGTGCTCAGGTATGTGGAGCATGTCAGGCTGCATTGCCTGTACAAAGCTTCGTTGGTCCCGCTGGGTTCCAGGAACCACAAGTGAAGCACTTGTGGCATTCAGACCCGCTGACTAATTTCTCCCGATCACCAGTTTTCAGGACAAGGCTCTTCAGCAGGTTGGGACTGCAGTGCTAGCTGCTCTTTTGCTGAACTGTCACTCAGCAAGCCCACCCAGGTGCTGACGGTCCAAAGCAAGACAGGGTTGCCGCGTTTCCTGATTTTCAAGTGAAGCTTGCATTTCTTCATTTTCTCAAGCTGTTCTTTTATTCTCGCTCAGTTATGCACTGGTTGGGTGAATGGCAATGCTGTGCTATAAATAGAACCCTTTGTAGGTAGGAATATCGGAAACCATTAAGAGAAAAATATTGCCCCCTTTCCTTTGGAAAACCAGTTTTTGGCAAAGACTGATACACACATGAGACACAAAATGGCCATGTGATGTGAGTCACTCATCACGAACCAGATGTCTGACTGATGGGACTCATCTAGTGACAGAAATGTGCTTTTGAAAATAATGGGCACATTTAAAATGTATTTATGGAGCACTATGCGATGCTTTGAAAATATATACATTATGTAATGTTTGGATCATCATACACACATCTATTTTCTCAAACACATATAATATTCCAAATCTTTTCTTCTAGTTTTTTTCTTCCTTCCTTCCTTACCATCCAGCACATACTTATAATTGAGAACTCACTTCTCTATACCTGTCGATCCCCTCTTCCCACTGTCCTCTCCCAGCTCTCCTCAGCCTCTATTTCATTCTGCTCTCAGCGTCTATGGGATAAGCTTTTCATAATTCTGTGTGTGGGGAGGTTATGGTGTATGTGTATGTGTGTGGGGGGAGGTTATGGTGTATGTGTACGTATGTATGGGGCGGTTATGGTGTATGTGTATGTGTGTGGGGAGGATGTATGTATGTGTGGGTGGGTGTATATGTGCGTATGGGTGTATGTATGTGTGTGGTTATGTGTATGTGTGGTGTGTGTGTATGTATGTGTGTGTGCGGTTATGTGTATGTGTGTGGGGGTGTATGTGTGTCGGTGTGTGAGTGGTTATTTGTGTGTGTGGGTGTATGTGTATGTGTGTGGGTGTGGGGGGGGTTATGGTGTATATATGCACATGTCTATGCAACTGGGTTCATCCATGTGTGGGGGCAGAGGTCAAGGCCAGCGGTCTTTATCACTTTCTACTTTTTTCTCTTGAGACAGGGTCTCTCACTGAAGCTGGAGGTCACTGTTTGGGGACCCCTAGAGGCCATCTGCCTGCCTGCCCCAGTGTGAGAGTTACAGGTGGGTACCCAGACACACCCCAACTTTTAACCTCTGAGACATTCCCTACCTCCTTTTTAAAAGTAGGATTTCATGTTTCCCAGACTGACCTCAAATTCACAATGTATTCTCAGACTTCAGATCCTCTTGGCTCCACTTCCCAAGTTCTAGGATCAGGTGCCACCTAGTTTGTGTGCTGCTGGGAATTGAACTCGGGGCTTTGTGATGCTAAGTATTCACTTTACCAACAGAGCTCAATTCCCAGCTGGGTTTCACAAATCAGATTCCAAGTCTGAGAGAGATCTCTCAGTATTTGTCTTTCCAAGTCGGTTTCAAAATGTCTGAAATTCCCGTGGTGCCTAGTCCAGCTGCGCCACTGTCTCCCTCAGCTCACCATCAAAGCCCTGCACCTGCTAGATGGGGAAAATGCCTCCGCTGTACTCGAAAATTATTCTGTATTGATATGCTAACATCAATGAAAAATGAGCTGTCATGGTTGGCTCTACACAGCAGTAAAGCTTACAGCAACACACCTGATTGTCCATGCGCTTGCGTGGAGAGAGAGTCAGAAGTACAGATCTTCCCCAGGCAGTGGGTGGATAATAAAAGCTTGTTAAAAAAAAAAAAAAAACTGCTAACGGTGGCTGGGCTGATCTCTGAATGGACTTTCAGATGGATGGAGGATAGAAGGCTATTTCTGTCCTCTGTGGGTGTACACACTGCAGAGATCCCAGCCATCAGATGGACAAGGTGACCCAATTCTGTGAATGTCAGGCGGCCAACTGGCCTCCACAGCAGGGAGGAAGACTATGCACTTCCCGTCCTCAAAGCACACAGTGCATCATCTGCCAGCAGCAGAGATCACCACTGTGCCCCAAAGGCACCTTTTCAGGAGTTCGAGCAGTCCAGTGGGGACAGACTGGCTGCCATACATTCCTTCCTTCACATTCGAGTGTTTGTCCCTATTAAAGTGATCCGGCAGTTTGGGATACAGATTCGCCTTCTCTGCCCACAGCGTTCTACATGGAACTGCAGTATTATTACAGTAATACCGTGTTGACAGAGTATTGACCTAAATACAATCTTTGTTTCTGCTTAGGACTTTGGGTTCTGTCTTTCATCCTAGTCTCAGGTCACGCCCCTCCTAACACTTCCTATAGAGGTCTACAGGTAAGGAGAGTTCATTTAGCTTTTGCTTATCTTGAAATGCTTCGTTTCTCCCTTACCACAGAAAGACGGTTTGTGTGTGTGTGTGTGTGTGTGTGTGTGTGTACACCTGTGAATACAGGATCTACGGGGGCCAGACAGCACTGAATTCCCTGTAGCTGGAGTCCAGCAGGCCATTGAAAGCTCCTGGGTGTGGCTGCTAGGAATAGAGACTGGGTCCTCTCAAGGGTAGCATTCCTCTAGCATCCTGAAGGGCAGCTTTGCAGGACAAGGGACTCCTGGTAGGCAGGTTTTTCTTTTAGCACTCTGAATATGTCAGACTTCTGCCTTCTAGCTGCCAAAGTCAAGAATCATCTGATGCTCTTACTAAGACTCCGTCATGTGAAGGGTCATTTCCCTGGTACCGGTTTCAAACTTCTCTTTATCTTTGACATGAATTATAGTGTGTGTATCAAGTTCACTGGGCTTCACGGATGCTTATATTCATATAAAGCTTAGGAACTTATTATAGGGTCATTATTTCTTCAAATAATATCTCTCTCTCCCTCCCTGCCTGCCTTGTTCCTCCCGCCTCTCCTTTCCTCCTCCCTCCCTCCCTCCCTCCCTCTCTCCCTCCCTCCCTTCTTTCCTCTCCTCTTCCCTCTCCTAGCTTGCCCCTCTTCCTCTTCCAGAGCTTCCATAGAACACAGATTGATTTGCTTGACAGTATCTTCAGGTCCCTCTGACGTGATAAGCCTGCCTGTGGACTCCTCTGATCACCTTTTCACTTCAATACTTGGTACAGTTTTTGTTTCTTCTCAGGCTCTCACTCTTTGATACTCATATTTTGCTTGTACATCATTTTCCTGACTTTCCCCTTGTCTTCTTGGCTCTTTTGGCATCTTTACCATCGTTGAAATTTCTCTCTAGGAGATCTTCCTTTAGATTTTCCTGAGAGATCCAAACAGCTTCAAGGCTGCTGGCTGAGATGGTCTAGCCTCACAGACTATTCTAATCAGGACTTGACTTAACCATTACCTAATTTTCTCAGGGTCCCCCAAAGATACCAATGCTCCCAAACAACAGAAAGCAGTCTAGAAAACACAATTTCTATATTCCTGAGAGGTGGGGTGTATGGTTTTTGAATATTTGGTGGGTAATGAATGTTTATCATTGTTTAAGGGGGTTGGTTACAAATTGTTATTGGTCATGGTTAAAAAACTAAACAAAGGACATTAGATTCAGGGATCTCTTTTTGAAGAAAAAAGGGAGCTATAGTATAAAAATGATGAGATAAAAGGGTGGATTGTAGAGTCTACTTTTGAATGACCAGTAGTCTCAAATACTTTACATTGGTATGGATTTTTGTACAGTAATACAAATTTAAGGTTATTTTTATTAGAACATACAATACTTACAACATTTCTCCTCTTATTTAAGGCATTGCACCAATGCAGCTCATTTAACAATGCAATGTAAATTTTTAGTTTTTGAAACTTATTAAAAACTACTTAGGATAATAAAGAAATACAGGTTAGTAGTTAGTCACCTATAACAATCAAACTTTTAGCTAGGCAGTAGTGGTGCACTCCTTTAGTCCCAGCACTCGGGAGGCAGAGGCAGGTGGATCTCTGTGAGTTTGAGGCCAGCCTGGTCTGCAAAAGCTATTTCCAGGACAGGCTCCAAAGCTATACAGAGAAACCCTGTCTCAAAAAACCAAAAGAATGAAACAAAACAAAAACAAAAAACAAAAAGCAAAAATACTTTTAGTCATGTATGTTTTCAAGATCAAACATATATTTTAAATAGATAGATGGTCTTCAAACACTTCAAAGACCTACAGAATATGACATTTAAAACTTTTTGTTAACATAGGACTTTTCATAACAGTGAGACGCATCTGCTCCTGGCAGCATCAATTGCCTTCAGAGATGATGGGCATTGAAGAAACTCCATATGGAGTCTGCTTTCAATGTGGCAAAACTGGCCATTTGGGCAAGAAACTTAACTGCTGACAGTATGCTGTACAAACTGGACAACAGGACACAAAGGAGAAAGACTGTTTAACTTTCCTACAGTAAGGCAGGAAAGTCCTTTAAAAATTCCTGCTTCATAGAAGAGTCTGCCAGATATTCCAGGTTTGTACTCCTAAGGTTGGATGCCCCAGCATTGCAGAAGAACCTTGAGTGACTGTCCAGGTGTCTCATTTCTATAGGTTTGGAAATGGCTTTCACTATAATCACTGTTTACTCAGGTAATATTATTTCTTCTGGGGTCTTTGATAGAGTTGAAGACGAGGTAGCCATAGTTGCAATTTTCCTTAGTTATGACAGAAGGTAAATTAGGTACAGAGCTTTGGACTCATCAAGATAGAATAAATAATGGAGCATTTTCTCCAGATATGCCAAATACAAATGGGCTGGACATTGTAAATGCAATTCTTACCTGATAATGTTCTTTTTATTTATAGTTTTATTATGTTACCCATTCCTTTTTACTTAGACAAGAAGGGAGGAAAGCTGTGGAATAGTCCTTTACACTGTGTGAAGTTATGTCACTGTGATTAGCTTAATCAAAAAGCTAAATAGTCCATAGCTAGACAGGAGCTTGGGGGCAGAGAGGACCCTGGGAAGAAGGCAGAGTCACCAGTCAGGCATGACAACACCAGGAAGGGTACAATAGAAATGAGGTAATGAGCACATGGAAGAATGTAGATTAAAAATAGGGCTAATTTAAGTTATAAGAGCTAGTTAGGAACAAGCCTAGGCTAAGGTCGAGCTTTCATGATTAGTAATAAATCTCCATGCCATTTTTGTGAGCTGGCAGCCCAAAGAAGAATCTGCCTACAAAGATGACTGCAGCAATTGTGACTATTTTGTTACATTTTCTTCTTGTTTTATAGACACATGAGTGTGTGCATGTGCACTGCAGATATAAGCCGCTAGGTGATCACTGACTTCATAACTTAGTTTTTGGTTATAAAACATCCACAAGTGGTTTTTTTTTTTCTGAGACAGTCTCACTGTGTACCCCAGGCTGACCTCAAATTCACAGTGTAGCTCAGGCTAGCACTGAACTCTCATCCTCCGCCTTTCTCTTCCAAGCGATTACAGGCAATGCTACCATGCCTGGCTCCTACATTTCTATGGAAGTAGTCGTTCAGAGATAGATACAGAAGCTGATGGAACTACATGTCAGCATGTTGTGGAGTAGGGAGAGTGTCTTCAAATGTCAGTTTCATGAAGCCTATGGTGGTTGTTACTGTTGTGTGGGAATGAAATATAGAGAGGAGAGAGACACTAGGGCTCCAAGGGTGGATGTGCCAGTCATCTGGCTCCATGCCCTCAGCCTTCACCCCTTCCCTCTGTGCTCAGCTCTGCATGGCAGACTTAACTATGCATGCCAAACTGACTTTTTAACCTGGCTTCTAGCGCAGTGCTATCAATTGAAGGGACGGGTAAGACTCTGCCAACCCAGGAAAGTGGGGGCAAATCTTCCGCCCGGCTTCATACAGCAGCAGCGTGGGAACAGAGACGGTGGTGAGTGTCCAGGCAGCAGGGCTAGAATGAGCAGCGGCCTCTCTACAAGTCCAGGTGCAGACTCCCGGCTCCCAGCAGCTGAGTGTCAGCCCTCCTTCCTTTGTTCTTCCACATCCCTCTTCTCCATTTGCCCCAGAAGTGTCCTAAGATTTATATAATGGATTCTCTCTACTTATCATTGGTGAGGCTGGAGGTGGAATAAAGGCTTGCTGGTTCTGAGTTTTAAAAGAGCCCTTATCTCTAGGAGCACATATTGAATATTTATAGATGACACATGAATCTTCTGATTCATTTGTGAGCAGAGTTATTTATAGCTGGGTACATTTTTCTTAAGAATAATCTACAATAGGGCATGAGGGGGGTATAGCTGTAACAGACTGGCCATGACCTCACAATTGTCTGGTGCTAACTACTGGGTGGCAGGGGCATGGGAACCCATCTTACCACTTACTCTCCTTCCGTTACGTAGTTTGTCCTCTGTGGTGACAAACACCCACGAAAAGCAACTTATCTATGTTTTTTTATGTTTGAGTTTTGTCGACACTTATGTCTGTACCCCAGAAGATGGTATCAGATAGTTGTGAGACACCATCTGAGGGCTGGGAGTTGAACTCAGGTCCTCTGTGAGAGAAGCCAGTGCTCTTACCCACTGAGCCATCGCTCCACGGAAAAGCAACTTACAGGGAAGAACCATTTCTTTTAGCTACTGGCTTCAGTTGGGATCCTTTACTCTCTTGAGTCTGAGCTTGAGATGGACTCATGCGACTGGAGTCTATGGCAGAGGTTACCAATCTCAGGGAGAGACAAGGATGGGAGGGGGTACAAGATCCCCCACGGACCTTCCCAGGAAATGACTTCCTGTAGCCAGGCCTCCCTTCCTAAACTTCCTGTCCCTCCCACAACAGCCCTATCGCGTATAAATCATTTGAGGGCATATTACAAAGTCAAACCATAGCTTTCCTTTTAGATATTTCTGAAATTTTCCACAGTAAAAATACCAATGGTGATCTCTCTGTACTCAGAGCAAGCAAATTCTCAATTGCAATACTTTTTTGTGAGTCTGACTGAGACACGTCCTATCATGGAGAAAGCCCAGCTTCAAATGTAGTCAGCACAAAGGCAAGCAAAACTGTGTGCAAGCCATAGACACCCTAAGAGAAGTTCCTCGTGACACCAGAACCCAGCACACAAATCCAGCAGATTCATTTGAAGGCCTTTTCAGATTTATAACCCCCTTCCCTTTCCTTCTTAAAAATATATATTTTTAATATGTATAGGTGCTTCATGTATGTCTGCCCACCATGTGTATGCAGTGCCCAAGGAGGCCAGAAGAGGGCACTGACCTATGGAACTGGAGTTACAGATGATTGTTAGCTGCTACGTGGGTGTTGAGAACTAAGCCAGGTCCTTGATGCAAGAGAAACAAGGTGCTTTTAACTGTTTAACCAACTCTCCAGCCCTCCTTTTCTTTTTTACAGGAGACAAGGTCTCAATATGTAACCCAGGTTGACCTTGAACTCCCATGAACCTCTTACCTCAGCCTCTCACATACTGATAAAATAGGTACAGGCTACCACTAAAGGTTCATAAATACCCAGTTTTTCCTCAGTTAGTTTGGAAATAAAATGATCCTAACTAATGAAACCCTAAATGCAATGATCGATCACTATCATCCCCACCCCCGAGCAACTAACAAACTGCTGTCAATCATCGCTGTCATTGTCTTCCATGGTGGCAATGGACATCATCACTAGGAATGTCCCATCAGTATCCCTATTGGTCAACATCAGCTGACTACATATTGGATGAAAAGCACCAGATCTTTGTCTTGCTGCCGCAGATCAGGGATGAGTGAGGCAGAGCCCTTGCTCTGAGTGCTCCTCACCCTCAGATGTTCCAGCCATCTAGATAGCCACCTCCTATAAAGATTCGTGTTTAGCTAGCCCAGGTCAGAGAAGAGTAGCCAAATACTAGACTGACAGAGGGGACACGCAGAATAAACCCAAGGGTGTAGAACTTACTGTTCTGCAACAGCCATGTTGGGTGGCAGAGAGGTGAGCCCATTGCCTGTGAGGAGAAGAACACGGAGATGCGGCAGAATCCCCAGATCACAGATGGCCTCCTCAGTCAGGCTGTTGAAGGAAAGGTCCAAGAACTACCATACAAAACAAAAGAAGGGATAACAGAAGTAACACGTGACACGAGGCCCAAACACACACGGGAGCTGGCTCCGTCCCCTCCTCCTTCCTGGGAAACCTCACCACCCACACATTCACAGCCTGTGGGGGTCAGGCTCAGTCCTCCTTCAGTCTTAGCTGCTACTGCACAGCTCTGTCTCCCTGGGGGGCAGAGAGTCCTCCCTACCCCTGGCCTGTCCCCCTAGTCACCTCTTCATGTTTCTGGACACTGGAAGCTCAGCCCCAGAAGACCATCTCAAAGGTGCTTCCTTATAAAACAGTCCCCAGCCCTCAGGCAGGTGGCTGCCTCCCTCCCCTGGCTTTGTCAGCTTTCTCTAAGCTACCCCAGGATACTTGTCCAAGGCTGCATGTCTTCAGATAGCTGGAGATGCCATGTACTATGTCTGGCACATGGTGGAAGAGGTCAGGGGCCATGTCACTGCCGTATGGTAGCCTTATTACTAAGCACAGGCCCTTACATGAAGCAGACACACATGCAAGTGTGCTGAAATGAGCCAGCTGATGAGGACAATGTGTCCAGTGGTCACCACATCAGCCACTGTCTCAGCACCGTCATCTCATTCACCACCCCCATGCTGAAGGCTTATTTCATCCTGGCTCTGGGAGCTCCAAGATTTCCTGGGCTGCAAGCTCTCTATGTCCATCGGTTAATAAGTGATGTTGCTGGGCTCAGAGAAACTCCTGTACTGGTGGGTAGTCAACACAGAGACTCACAGCCAATCCGAGTACAGAGAGTAAGTAGCTGCAGAGTGCCCGACCTTGATAGGACACCTATACCCTCTCCTTCAAGGCTCAGGGGACATCACAGAAGGGGGTGGCAAGAGCTTAAGAAACAGAGAGTCGGAAGGGGATGCTGTAAAACTGTCTTCTGGGTGTGACTGTGGCTGTGGAAGGAGAAAGGGCTCGTGGGGCCCCGCCCCTCTGGGAAGGATTACTGGTAGTTAACAGTGGTGGGGGAAGGGTATCACTTTCTTCAGTGGTGATAAGTTGTTGTCCACGTTCCTCATACAGCAGCCAGACACGCTTTCTAAAACACACACAACTCTGACCACAACATGATCCCCGTCCCATACGATAGTTTCAGCTACTTAGCAAGTCCAAGACATGCCAAGGTCTGTCCTAAGTCACTTCAGGCTCACACAGCGCTACCCGTCCACAACTCTCACCTCCCCCCATCCCACCCACGTTTGAAATGGTTCCCCAGTATTCAAGCTCAGGAGTCAGCACACCAAGGCCAACGAGTCAAATCCAGCCTGATGCCCATTTGTGGCCGATGAGCAAAGGATGATCTTTACATTTAAAAATAAAAACAAGAGGCCAGGTTAGGTGGCACACGCCTTTCATCCCAGTGCCCGGGAGGCAGTATCAGGCAGACCTCTGTGAGGTGAGGCCAGTATGGTCTACAGAGTGAGTTCTAGGACAGCCAGGATTACACAGAGAAACCTGTCTCAAAAATAAACAACAAACAACCAAATAGAATAGTGTGTCCCATGCGGCAATTATGAGTAGTTCACAACTCAACATCACGCTTGGTTGCCTCCACTCTATAGTTCTTCCCTTCTACAGAGGCATGGATGACAAGTTATGACGGTCAAAATTAATTATGAATATATGGAATAAAAGTTTAAGATACTTAATTTCTTGTCTTACAGAAAAAAAAAACGTGGACCCCAATTCTACTGCTTTGGCTATTTAATGCTGGGTCCAGATTTGCTTTCAAATTACAGCCAAGTGAAGTTTTCCAAAACTGTGGAGGAATTCCACTCTAGGCTGCTCCCCTTGGGGCAGGCTCGCTGACAGCCAAGGACAGAGATTCCTAGCCTGGCTGCAGTATTTGCTGAGTCACATTGGGTTTTATTACACATTAGAGTATTCATTACTGTGAGATGCAAATTCGGGATATTTGACATGTTTATCTTTTTTCCTAAGGAGCCCTTGCAAATCACAGAGACGAGAACAAACGACCGGTCCAGAGATTTCCTTCTCTCATCTCTATTCTGCATCCTAAAATGAGTCTGTTTTCTTCTGTCGATAAATTCTTTTGACTAATACGGGGTCTGGAGGATAAATAACCCTCATCAGATGCAATCAGACTGTAAAGGGGGGGGCACATACAAGATCAGTCATGATGAACATTAGATCCCGGGCTAGCTGTTCAGAGCCAAAGCTGTGACCACATTCCTCTGGGTGGCCGCTGGCACTTGTGGCGTGTTTGGGGTATGTGGGAGGAGGAAGACACGATCCATGGCACTATATGCAGTTCTCAGGAGATCAGTGACTGTTCTCTGAAAAGGTCAAACAACAGTGGAAGTCCATAGGGGCAGCTGGGCCTGGCGGCCAGAGAAATGACTCCTTGGATCTCTACTGTCGAGGATGCACCTCCCACTGTCAGCACCAAAATATCATACAGAACGAGGCTCTAACATAGCTCCAAACTGCATCAGTTACTTCTTATTTTGGATTTTATTGGACTTTGACAGTTTGCCTACTGAATAAGTCCCAAGTCAGAGCAAACTTCAGTGTCATCTTCAGTGTGACTAGAACCATGGGAAAGTCAGCCCTACATCAAGCACTAGACGCTTTCAGAATGTGAGGACACAGCGTACGTCTGGGGAAGATGCCCATTCCAACATGCTAAATTTTTCCAAACTGTGGCGTAGAAAGGCCGTCAACTCCTTGACATGTTGACATGTTCCCTTCTACAGAGGAGACAAGTGAGGCACACGTGAAGCAGATTTAAGCTAGCAAAGCTTACAACACGTAGACATGCTGCTAAGGCGTGGGTGGAAAGGCTCTCCTTTTAGGCCTGCACAAAGGGAGGGGTGCATTGCTCAGGGAGAGACTGAGCCTGGCCAGGTGGCTGAGCCCCCCTTCTGGCACTGTTCTCCAGTCCATGTGGGACTCTCAAGTAGTGACACAAACTTCATTCCCTTGTTTAAAAAAAAAAAAGTGGCCCTCTAGTCTATCCAAGTCACAGGAGGTGATAAAGTATGAAGAGATGCAGACCAGATTTCCTATTCCAAGGTCCTGAGAACAAGCATGGATGTGCATGCACACAGAACGTACTGTTTAGTCCATCCTCACCTCTAGGTCTAGGGAATAGATGTACAGCCTGTATTACCCCAGTCCACTGGGACCACCCTAGCTTACAAGTCAGGTGTGTTTTGGTAGTGGTCCATAATGTCTCTTCATCTTACTGCAGCTGGCTCTTAATCTCTACAGCTCTTCAGACACCTAAGGAGATACATCTGCTATGAAGCTCCTCCTCCTATGATACTCCATTGACACTCACTTTTCTATAGACTCTCCTGCACGTGAATAACCCTAGGCACTTATATCCCAGAATCATACATGTTGGCTATAGTTACCTATCTACCACAAGTACCACTATTACCACCATCATCACCACCATCACCATCATCACCTGTTGGGAGCAGTGAGACCCAAGATCCTGAATTTCTTGTAAACAACTTGTTTTCCCCTGATCTGAGTGCCTACAGCTGCTCTGAGCACGAGACCTTCAGGAGTTCCTGATGGCAGGAGAGTGGTTTCTGGTGGGTTTGGCTGGGGCGTGGCTATCTCTATATAATCTGCCCCTGAACACAATAAAGAGGGCATTCTTGGGGAATTCAAGGATGACCCGTATCACTGTCTCTCTGTCTGTGTGTGTCTGTGTATTTTAACCTCCAGCCCCTTGCCTGAAGCTTGGTAACTGGGTGCCAGCGCACAGAGCGCAGATATGGGGGCACGGTGCGCGGCAATCACAATCACCACCATTATCACCATCATCATTATCACCGTCATCATCATCACCACCATCATCACCATCATCACCACCATCACCATCACCATCATCACCATCATCACCATCACCATCATCATCACCATCATCACCACCATCACCATCATCACCATCATCACCACCACCATCATCATCACCATCACCACCATCACCACCATCATCATCACTGTCATCATTACCACCACAACCTCCAGAGGCCATCTATAAAGAGCCTAGCAGTGAAAGCGTGGAGAACCCTTCTCCAACGTTACACTCTGTAAAGACCCCTATACTAATCCCTTACAGGGAAACAGGTAGGACCAAAAACTCCCTACCTCCAACTTACTTCCAATGTCTTGAAGTCTCCATATTTCACATAGACCATCTTGATGCCATTGAATGCAAGCTCCAGTTCCTTTAGGGTTGGAAATGTGTGAAAAGCATCTGCATGGGAACAGAAAGAGAGAATCTTGAGCTCATAAAGGCTTAAAGAGAAAGATACAAATAGCGACCATCCACTGAGTTTTCCACAGGGGGAAGGGTGAGTCATGGACGATGCTTTACGTATCAGGCCTTTAAAACTCTAACCATGGGGCTTCAGAGATGGCTTGGCAGTTAAGAGGACCAGAGTTCATCTCCCAGCACTCACACTAGGTGGCTTCCAACTGCCTGTTACTCCAGCTCCAAGGGTTCCAATGGCCTCTTTCTCCTGGCCTCTATGAGTGCCTGCATTCATGTACATACACCCAAAACACATGCCCACACACACAAAATAAAAATAATCTTTTAGAAAAATTAAAATCTCTACCCACACTCACTAATAGGAATTATGACTTTCATTCTACGGCTGAGGAAATGGAGGCTCGGGCAACTAAGTGACTTTTTAGAAATTAGGATTACAGGCAAGAGCGAAAACTAAGGCTTGGACACACAAAGTGTGTTCAAATGCAAAGCCCACCTAAAAGTTATCTCTTGTCTTTCTCCTTTTTTCTTCCCAGACTAGGAACCAACCCCAGGACCTTATGCATGCCAGGCAAACTCTCAACCACTGAGCCACACTGCTAGATAATCTGTTATTTCTGATTAGAGATGTCACTATGTTCACCCCAAATAGTCAACATCACAGGAAAAAAATGTTCCTTTAGCCCCAACAGTTGGGGTCAACTGTTTAAAATGCCATGCATACACCTCATTTTTCTCATGTGTGTATTGAGATACAATCTTTTTCTTATAACATGGGATACACGCTGCACTGTGGCTGTTCTCCTTTAACAGTGTGACTTGAAGGTTAGTCTATGTTAAAACAAACAGATTTGTCCACTATCTTAATTACTTGCTGGTATAGACATGCCATAACGTTACCCTTTTCCTACTGATAGCATATAGGCGATGGGGGTAAGAAGTAATCCAAAACTCCCTCTTACATGATAACTGCATCTTAAGATTCTCTTTCTAGTCCTGTTTCCCTGGTAACCTGAAACACATGCTATGATAACTGTGTTACTAGGCAACTGTTGCTTGTGGTAAAAATGATTGCAGACCAGTATCTTGTGTCTGGACCAGGAGAAAGTATAAATTATAAACATTTCTGTAAATGGTGACTCCCATAACCAGATATGTCCTCCGTGGGACTGCTACAAGCTGCAGGACTATGGAATGTCACGAGGGACAAAGGTGATTCCTGCATTTGCCCAGTGAGAGTTTCTGTCCTGCGCCTGGGGTGACACTTGGCTAGTGGGCAGCCCTCCCAGATGAAGGATCCTGATGCCATGCAGCTGGCACAGTGTAGAATCACTTAGAACCTCCTGTGTGGCCTACAGAAGGCTTGAGTCAGAATGCTCAGTAAGGCCTACTAAGAGGCTCTCTAGTGGGTTTCCTTGTGTAAGTCCTAGAAGTGGAGCTACTAAAAGCAAAGACTATTTTGATTTTTAAAACATTTATGTATTCATTTGTTGTTTGTTTAGTGTATGTCTGTGCACCAAGTGTGTAAAGGAGCCCGTGGAGGCTAGCAGAGGGTGCTGGATCCCCTGGAACTGGAGTTACAGGTGGTTCTGAGTTACCCCATGAGTGCTGGGAACTGAACCTGGGTCTTTTGCAAGAGCAGCTAAACCAGCTCTCCAGCCCTGTTTGAAACTTCAAGAGATACGACCAAATTATGTCCATGGTGTCACATCGCCTTCTTTACTTCACCTTCACCAAGAGCACCCACCTCCACACCAGCCGGCTGTATCATACTGGCCAATCTCTGATGGGCACAAAATAGTATCCTGGTGTTGTGTTCCTTAATAGTGAGGCTGACCATCTTCTCGTTTGCCTTTCTTCCAAGGCAGGGGTCTCATCGGATGCCTCTTTAGAAGCTCCCATCCAACTCCCAGGGACAAACCAAGCTCATCTCATCAACCCCGCCTTCCAGGACTGTCTCTGAGATCCATCCCTCTCCTTATAACCTCACAAGTCGCCTCGCCCTCACTCAGCCTGTCTCCAGTATCATCTCCCCTTCCATGGAAAACTGAACTGATTCCTAGCATCTCCTGGACTCCATTTTCTCTCTTAGAATCCACCCCCTCGGGTTGGAGAGATGGCTCAGTGGTTAAGAGCATTGCCTGCTTTTCCAAAGGTCCTGAGTTCAATTCCCGGCAACCACATGGTGGCTCACAACCATCTGTAATGACATCTGGTGCCCTCTTCTGGCCTGCAGACATACAGACAGAATAATGTATACATAATAAATAAATAAATATTAAAAAAAAGAATCCACCCCCTCCTCACTGAGCTTTCCTGTTTAAAGACTTCCAGGACTCTTCTGTCTGAAGGATTAAGTTTGACTCCCAAAGCCCTCCAAGATCCCTTAGCCCTGCCAATGTGTCTAGCCTCAATTCTCCTCCCTTGTAAGCAATCTTTGTGACCAGGCAGTATACAGCTGCCCCCCAAAGCACCTTCATTAACTCCTGAGTTAATTTCTTTATTATAATGTGTGCATGTGCATGCATGTGTGTGTATGTGTGTGCGTGTTTGTGCACATGTGCATCCATATGTGCGCATACACGCATGTGTGTATGTGTACGTGTGCACACAGATATCAGTGGACAACTTTTCGGGAGATGGTTTTCTTCGTCTACCACGTGAGTCCCAGGGATCATCATCAGGTCACCGAGTTCAGCAGCGGGTGCTTTAACTCACTCAGCTGCCTGGCCAGCCCAGTTTATCTTCTGATCTTAGCTTAGGTGCTCTTTTCTTAAGTTTTCCTGACTCTCTGGTATGGGCTAAAGCCCCCCTTGTATGCTTGCATAGTGTTTCCTGACCTCCCTGTACCGTTGCTTATATGCACCCTGCTTTGGGGCTGAGTCTGAGCTCGACTCTCCTCTCCAGAGAGAAACTGGGCACGGTTCTTTCTAAAGGCCACGCATTCTGACACCAGCAGGGGTCACTGTGGATTTGCTGAATTACCAAGATGCTTTCTCTCTGGTAGGGGCATGCACAGATTTAAAAACCTCTCTTGCTGGAGTTTGCAAGGTTGGAGGAGAGGGTTATCTGTGTGTGTGGAGGAACAGGCTCCAGTTTGGCAGTGTGGGACCAGAGTGCAGACTGAGTACTCTCCGGGGCCCTTACTCTCCGGCTGCTCCACCCAAGAGGAAAGGCTGTTCACAGATGGACAGACAGATCCTGTCACAAGTGATTTTCTGGCCAGGAGGACGCTCACCTAGAGGCAGCAGGTTTTCAGAGGCGTTGATATAAATTACAGAAGTGAAATGTTTGAAGTCCTTTTCCTTTGCCTGTCAGAAAGTATTCCAGAAAAACACAGGATTAGTTCCCTGCCCGGGAGCCCCGCAGGAAACGAGAGCAGCTGCTGAGAGAACAGACACCTAAAGGACTAAGAGACATTCTGAGTGCAGGAGCAGTCGTGTGGGGAGGGCTGGGGGCTTTTCTGTTCATTTTCCTCTACCTTGGAGTACTTCAAATGTATCGAAAAGGACAGAGAACGATCTCTGAAGATGTAGCCAGGCATGACCCAGTTTTAACAGAGCTGAATCTTAGGTGTTTAAATGTGAAAGAAACTATTAGAAGACTTACAACTCTCCATGTGCCACCTGCCCCCAAACCTCTCGCCTCATCCCCGCTCTTGATCTTTCATGTATTACATACACAACACGTTCATATCCATCAACTAAGCAAAGGGTGATTTACAAGCTTTAAAACTTCACAGTCATACAGACTTATGGTCCAATATGCCTTTTTACTCAATAGTATGATTTTGAGATTTATGTTGAGATATGTATAACACTTTGGAGATTAATCTGTGTTGATACACATAGGTCCAGTTCATCCATTTCAATTTCTTGCTTGAGTGTATGACAAGGTTAGTCTATCTCAAATTTTCCATCATTACAAACAATGGTGTCATATACATTCTTATATATTCCACCTCATTATAAGACTTTATTTATCCCGACAAGGTGGTGAGCTTGTGGGATGGGAACTCCACACAAGGAATTACAGTCTGGCCAAATTCCCTGGCCAGTTCACACCATCTTTGCCCTCAATCCCAAGAACAGATTCATAAGGTAAGTTTTACTAATTCATACAAACACCAAATTTAAAGCAAAGTTGGAATTTGTTTCTGCCTGGTGAGCGCTTGTCTGCCCTCCCTTCCTCCCCCTCACATCTGGCTCTGTCATGCCTTTGCTGCTGGCCTCACCTTGGAGAACTTCATGCCGCTCACGTTCACGGTGCAAAGGTCTGATGGCTTTCTTACACAGTGGTGCTTCATCTGGAACAGAGGACACAGACTTAGTCCCAGGGTCCCAGTGGAGTATGATAGGTTAAGCTACTCCTGCTGAGTGTCTTCTCATTGGGTACGCTCATAAAACCTGCCATTTGTTTTTGCATGTGCATTTGCTCATTCACCAAGAATTAACTGAGAACCACCTCTGGGCCATGAACTGACTGTAACAAGCTCTTGTTCAATCCTAACTGAACCCTTCTTTAATGTGAATAGTGTATCTTATGACTTATTAGTTGTGTTCAGGGTTTACCTCTCTCTT